CCAATGTAATGTCAGTTAGCTTAACTGTGATGATATGACTTTCAATATGGGTACCAGAGTGCTCTTAAAATGTTTCTTCAAATTTGATATGTATCTCAGCCGTACAAACTGCCCTAATGGTTTCATTCTTGTTTCCTTATATGATAAGAGGTCATAGATACGAGAGTGATTCAAATAAATTCAAATTATAATTCAGCTAAAATAGGTTTTAAGTTCCACACTCTGTCAGTCCTAAGAGATAATTATAAACAACATACCCCTATTGATTTTGAGGTTACACAAATATCTCTTTTTTAGCTTGACTTTTTGAAGAATAGTGAGAGCCAATTGTACTCTCTCAGACTTGGTTAAAATTTTGCATGCAAGTTGGTATCTCCCAAAGTACTGAAGGGATTGGGTTGAAACTTATTTGGAAGTGTAACAGGAGGTCACTGTCTAAGACCCATAGTTCTAATGTGAATTTTGACAGAATTATGGCCATTTTTTAACTAAAATTTTACATATCCAGGCTTTTGTTTTACTATCAAGCTCTGAAAATTAGAGCATAATAGGAGGTCACTGTTCAAATAACCCATAACTGTTACTTGGATTTTGATAGGATTACGGCTCTTTTTGAACAATATCCAGGCTTTTGTTTTACTACCAAGCACTGAGAATAGTAGAGCAGCTCTCCTATCAACAGCTTTTGTTAATATTTGATATATTTTATTATATAGATTAAAACAAATGTATTCTTTATAAACTAAAGCAAAATACTGTCTAATATTGTAAGTCAAAATACTTGCTGTCTCATAATAGCTATGATCTTTCTTGTTTGTCTTGTGTTTTTACTATTAACAAAATGTTAATAAATTCTTAAGATAATTATGTGACATGAATGTGTTAATTAATGTGTTGCTTCAACCAGAATGAGGTTGATAGTTAATGTGTTGCTTCTATCAGAATGAGGTTGATTCCATTAATAAACTAGGATATTACAAACCTGTGAAACTGATTGATTTGTTGTGGGAGGACATGTTCTGTTTCTATTGGCAACTCTATCAGCATGTTCAAGTTTTATCTTGCATTATTCTATGGCATATTTACAAGATAAGTTTGAGAAATTGCATCTGTATTATGCCATGGCAATCATTTGTCTTACTATAGATCATGACCTAGGGAAGGGAAACAATTCTGTCATGATGAAACACTTTTATAATGTGCTGACAAAAATTGCCAACAAGAAGATAATGAGCAATCAATTCAATTCTGGCATAACCTTTAAGAACAATTTAATACGACATTGTTGACCCTGTAATTTAATAAAAGGTTAACATTGATAGGTCACATGACACACATTTTATTTAAAGTATGGCATTATCATCAACTAGAATAGACAGTAATGCATTAACTTGTCTAAATTAATGCCAAGATTTTTGTACAGAGGTAGTCAGGTGACTAAGATGTGTTATTATTCACTGACATTATATTGTGAAATGTCGGATACAGATCCTTGTTTATATTCTACACAAATAATATAAACTTTACATTTCTGGCTGCTTTCTAAAATGATATATGTTTTAAAGATTTAATGGATAATAAAAGTATATTTTGGGGACCTCTCATAAGTTAATGTAAAGAAGTCATTGCTTATTTCAAAGCATATGTCAATGGTAATTGTTGTTCTTATAAAAAGACAGAGGTTTTTGTATTTGTATTATTTTTCAAAGATAAAAGGAACTTGAAATGTTGGATGTCTTTGAATGAAAGTAGTTGTATCTAGATACCCTAGACTAGTGTGCCTATGAAAGGGCACCATGACTTACTTTGAACTAACAGTGAGTTGTTTCAAATTGAGATTTATAATATTTTATGTTGCTTAGCAACAAATCTAGGGTTTTGGTGTGTCTACATAATTCAGTGATCACATTGGTTGCATGATTGTTATACAGTACAATAACTATAGAGTATCTGAACTTCACAATACTTGTACTCTACTGAATTTGTAAAATATACTGCAGGCTTGCAGCCTTGTCACTTGACTGGTGTCAGTAGCCCCCAAATTGAAAATCTTACTGAAAAGAGGAGAATCGTAGTTACTATGCAGATTTTCTTTGCCAGCTTCAAATGAACAATAAATTGTTTGAGATGACTTATTCAACTTTAAATTTGACATGATATATGTGCCAAAATCCAGGAAAATGTATGAAATTTCTTCAAGCATGATATAAGTGGTACCTTTGTTGTGTTGTGTATCTGGTACATTAGAGAATTAGACAGAAATTAGAGCATAAGTACTACACCTGTAAAGCTGGATAATTAGTTTAACTGTGCCAGGAAAAAGATGCTAATTAATCATTTACTCATTATTACCTAATTATGATTTTACCAGGAACCTACTTTGTTTCTTGTATATTACAAGTTAACCTATATATTATCATGATATTCCAGGATTTATGTGTTTGCATCAGACAACTACAATATTTCACTGAAAATTATGTACCGGTACATCTATATAACAGTTTGAACTCTATTCACTGACTTACATTACAATTGCAGTGTACTTACAGGTGTAAAAGTAATTAGTATGATATACAAAAAAAGTTGATATCTCCGTTAGAATATATTATGACTTTTTAGTATCTTTTTATTGGGTACAAGTCTTCAATAGTCAATGACATCTCTGTTATGTTACAAAATTCATCCTTTAATAACAACTTTTGGGATTGAAAATTTAAAATAGTCCTTAAAATAAGAGTGGTTGACATTTCCATTGCACTAGATCAGGTAAATAAAGTTTAAGAGACTTGCTATGATTGTAATAAAAGGGATGAAAATGCTGATGATGACTAGAAATGTGATATATTCCAGTATAACTGTACCTTCAGGAGAGGGTACTGAAGGTTTACTAAGAAAAATTGTTATAGGGCAACTATAAAATGTATATGGCATTCTTACAGTTCGATGTTACCTCAAAGAGGAGGCGTTGAAGAATCAATATAATTGACCATCATCACTTTTCAAGGATTTCTTTAATGGCTTGACAATTATTATACCCCCAAAAACGAAGTTTGGGGGGTATCTAGGAGTCACCCGGTGGTCGGTCGGTCGGTCGGTCGGTCGGTTGGTCGGTCGGTCGGTCGGTCCAGACGTCCGTTGCATTTTCCTTGTCCGGAGCATAACTTGAAAACTAATGGTTGGAATTCAATATAACTACATACAATGGTCAAGCACATTGAGAGGAAGTGCAGTGCACAAGAACCATAACTCTATCTCGACTAATTACAGAGTTATTGCCCTTTGTTACTTTTCCTTGTCCGGGGCATAACTTGAAAACTACTGGTTGGAATTCAAAACAACTTCATACAATTGTCAAACACAATAAGGGGAAGTGAAGTGCATAAGAACCATAACTCTATCTAAAGTAATTACAGAGTTATTGCCCTTTGTTGCTTTTCCATTGCTTTTTTTTTTGTCCGTTGCATTTTCCTTGTCCGGAGCATAACTTGAAGACTAATGGTTGGAATTCAATATAACTACATACAATGGTCAAGCACATTGAGAGGAAGTGCAGTGCGTAAGAAACATAACTCTATCTTGACTAATTACAGAGTTATTGCCCTTTGTTACTTTTCCTTGTCCGTGGCATAACTTGAAAACTACTGGTTGGAATTCAAAACAACTTCATACAATTGTCAAACACAATAAGGGGAAGTGCAGTGCACAAGAACCATAACTCTATCTAAAGTAATTACAGAGTTATTGCCCTTTGTTGCTTTTCCATTGCCTTCTTTTTTTTGTCCGGATCATAACTTGAAGACTAATGGTTGGAATTCAATATAACTACATACAATTGTCAAGCACATTGAGAGGAAGTGCAGTGCATAAGAACCATAACTCTATCTAAAGTAATTACAGAGTTATTGCCCTTTATTACTTTTCCATTGCTTTCTTTTGTCCGGACCATAACTTGAAGACTAATTGTTGCAATTCATTATAACTTCATACAATTGTCCAGCACATTGAGAGGAAGTGCAGTGCGCAAGAACCATAACTCCATTTTGACTTATTACAGAGTTACTGCCCTTTGTTTCTTTTCCTTGTCCAGAGCATGACTTTAAAACTTCTGGTTGGAATTCAAAACAACTTCATACAATGTCCAAGCACAATAAAGGGAAGTGCAGTGCACAAGAACCATAACTCCATCTTGACTAATTACAGAGTTATTGCCCTTTGTTACTTTTCCATTGCTTTCTTTTGTCCGGACCATAACTTGAAGACTTATTGTTGGAATTCATTATAACTTCATACAATGGTCAAGCACATTGAGAGGAAGTGCAGTGCATAAGAACCATAACTCCATCTTGACTAATTACAGAGTTACTGCCCTTTGTTACTTTTCCTTGTCCAGAGCAGGACTTGAAAACTACTGGTTGGAATTCAAAACAACTTCATACAATGGTCAAGCACAATAAGGGGAAGTGCAGTGCACAAGAACCATAACTCCATCTTGACTAATTACAGAGTTATTGCCCTTTGTTACTTTTCCTTTTCCAGAGCATAATTTGAAAACTACTAAGAGCCATAACTCCATTTTGACAAAATACAGAGTTACTGCCCTTTGATACTTTTCCTTGTCCGGGGCATAACTTAAAACGTACTGGTTGGAATTCAAAACAACTTCATACAATGGTCAAGCACAATAAGAGGAAGTGCAGTGCACAAGAACTATAACTCTATCTTCAGTATTTATAGAGTTATTGCCCTTTGTTCTTTTTCTTTGTCTTTCTGGACTTATTACAGAGTAATTCAATTAAACTTCATCAATGGCCAACCACATCGAAAGGAAATGCAACATACATGAACCACATTTATCTTTAATTGCCCACAACCATAACTCTATGTTTCAATTCTATTACAAGGTATTCTGTTACTAGTAGCATCCTCATTTCCAAAGCAGACTTGTGGGGGTATTAATCACATTTAGTGATAGTTCTAGTTGATTTTTGTTATATTTTCAGTGTTGTATTACCTCAAAGTGAAGACATTGAAAATACATTATGTAATGAAGAGGATATGAACGATGGTCTCCTTAATGCTGGCAGTGAGGGGACTAGAAGAGGTGGTGTACGTAGCACAGGTGATATGGAACATGAGGCCAGAGGTACATGTAACAAAATTTGATTTCCTCAGAGCATCTTAAGACATGCTTTAAGGGCCTGTCTTTATTGTGATTTATAATAATAGCCACAAATAGTTCATGGTGTTGATACATGTACTAGAAATGTGATTTATGTAGAAGGCCCCTGTTTATAGCTCAGATTATCACACACGAGTTTAATTTTTCAATTTATATATATCAGGACTTTATTTCTGTCATCTTTTAGGGATTTTTACAATGCACTGCACAAATGCTCACAAAATTCTAATGCTCAGCATGTTGTTTTTTTTGTTTATAAAGAATTTAACTTAGTTCGATTGTGTAGGAAGCTATAAGCTTATAGACACACTATTGAATCCGTTCCTGGAACCAACCAGTACTGAGCAATGAGTTTAAAGTTTCTTGCTCAAGGAAACAACGACTTGCCTCTGACGGGGTGTGAACCCATGTGGCTAGCGATCAATAAATTACTAGAACGATGCGTTAAGCACTCGGCCATGTTGCCACTATGATGTTTTTTTATACAGAAAATTTCTGTATGTTGACCAGATGACATTGTCACTATAATAATTATTCAACATGGCAAAAGTATATTTTAATCTGTCTGATACAGTGCAACATATTGATAGATTGTCTGGTAACTTGTCACACAAATCAAATGCAAAAATATGATATAGTCTATAGAACTGCTAGAATCAAGGTTAATTACATTTTTTCAAAGTATTATTATGATATTATTATTCTCTATCATTATGCAAGGTTAAAAACATTTCTATAATAAAGTTATTTTGCTCTGTTTCAATGAGTTATCCTGCATTTTTTCTTTGAAAAAAAAGGAGAGAAAAAAAGTGGCATACATTTGTAACTTGTAGAAAGTTTCATTTCACCAAAACAACTAGAGAAAATTTTGCACCATGACAGAGAATAAAGTAACAAACACAAACTTGAAATCAAATGAGGTGTTGCTTGCAACAGTATTGAGTTATCTGTTTGTTTCCCTGAGTAATCTGTGTTGTTGTTTTTCATTTCAGACAATGAGAAGGGTTATGAAAACTCCATGCAAGGACGTGGGTCAGCAAACAAGGCTAGATATAGTGCTGATATAGAACATTTGATGAGAAATTTGAAGGTTTGATACTCTAATGTTTACTTCCTCGTGCCAATAATGTCTTGTCTATAGCACAGAGTTTAACCACATCCCTGCCAGAGCTATAATTGTATAATTACGCTGTATTTGCCTGGGAAATTTCTAAGAATTGCAGGAAATTACTGACAAAGATGGATGCTTATTTTTCATTTTACGTAGATAGACAATATAAAACCTATACTTTTATTATAAAATGAATTAGGTAAAACAAAATGATTTTTTTTTAATTTCAAATGAACAACATGATAAATTGCCCCTAAAAATATCAATAAATCAGCAGTTATTTTCATATCTTATTATAGGCAAGTAGATGGCACTTGATTCTTTTGCACACAACAAAACAGTTTGTTTATATAAAATATGTAAGTAAAAATTGATATAATGCGGTGAAGTTTGTCAAGGCTGAAAAAAAGCTCATATGTTTGAAAAAAGAAAATTCATATGGATGTCAATAATTTTATAGTTTTCATGACTAAGTAGATGTAAATATTCTATTACAGGGTCATCATTCTGGCAGTTCTTTAGACAAGATGTCAAGTTCGACACACAGTACAAGTTCAAGCACTGACAATGAGGCACTAGGTGTGATGCCTCATGGTAAAATAACCAAAGCTTTCTCTATGTCTTCCATCCCTGCTGCCACAGCAAATGATAAACAGAAAGGTTTGTAACCTGTACTCAGAGCTGTATCAATATCTCCTCCATTTGAACCATTGCTTGTAAATATTGAAACTTAGTTCAAATTTGATTGAATTTCAATCAGATATACGAAACATAGTTCAAATTTGAATGAATTGACAATCAGATATATAAAAGATAGTTCAAATTTGATTGAATTGACAATCTGATATACTAAACTTAGTTCAAATTTGATTGAATTGACACTCAGATATACTGAACTTAGTTCAAATTTGATTGAATTGACACTCAGTTAAACTAAACTTAGTTCAAATTTGAATGAATTGACAATCTGATATACTAAACATAGTTCAAATTTGATTGAATTTACACTCAGATATACTGAACTTAGTTCAAATTTGATTGAATTGACACTCAGTTAAACTAAACTTAGTTCAAATTTGATTGAATTGACACTCATATATACTAAACTTAGTTCAAATTTGATTGAATTGACACTCAGTTACACTAAACTTAGTTCAAATTTGATTGAATTGGCAATCAGATAAACTAAACATAGTTCAAATTTGAATGAATTGACAATCAGATATATATTGCATAGTTCAAATTTGAATGAATTGACAATCAGATAAACTAAACATAGTTCAAATTTGAATGAATTGACAATCAAATAAACTAAACATAGTTCAAATTTGAATGAATTGACAATCAGATAAACTAAACATAGTTCAAATTTGAATGAATTGACAATCAGATATATAAAGCATAGTTCAAATTTGAATGAATTGACAATCAGATATACTAAACATAGTTCAAAGTTGAATGAATTGACAATCAGATAAACTAAACTTAGTTCAAATTTGAATGAATTGACAATCAGATATACATAATTATACTCACTTTCCTGGAAAACCTGTATTAATTGGAAAAAAATGAAGTTGCCTTAAAGTGGGTTGGCCTACAATTTGCACATTTTCCTTATGCATGTCAATTATTGTTTAAAAAAAAAAGAAATGTAGCATTTGGATATTCTTATATTGCTTGAAAAAAAGTTTTTGGTGATTTAGTATAAATACTATGCATGAATAGTAATATTTTGTTCCTTAAAATTTTATTATCTGTTATATGAATATATATAGACAGACAGACAGACAGACATTTTATTTCAATCAAAAAGGCTTATAAGCCCATGATGACATAATACAGCATATTTACAAGATAATGAACAGTGCATATGTTAAAATAAAAACATTATCACAATATAATTATGACTTTACAGGAGAAGGTCATAATAACAACTTATACAATGTAATATTGGAGCATGTATCTCCCATTTGCCAATGTATGAAAACTGTTTTTACAGACTTTCCATTTTAGACCAATTCACTTTAAAGTTCCTTCTATAAATATATTCAAACACTACTTTAAATTTTGACTGACTGATACTCTTGGTTGTTTAAGAAATAAGTTAGACTGTAAAGCTATGCGGGTATGGTAAGATCTGGCATCAATGCTTGTACTTTCAGACATACAACATAAATGATTCTAGTTTAATGAATGATTTGTGGTAGGATAATCAATTCAAGTATCAGTAACATGAGAGATTCTCAGATGAGCATCCAAACGTTTTTTACTGGTTAAGTAATTTTCGTGAGCAAAATATATGACAGTTTACCAGTTATAGTTATGTTTGATCAAAGATGGTACTCCTGAGCAATATTATGTTGTCTTTATTTTAAATTCAACCTCAAAACTTATAATTCTGGCCTTGGATGCAGGTCTTATCAGTATACTATTGTTTTTGGCTAACTTTGTATATATCGGGTACTTTTATTATCTATTATGTCAATATTTCATGATATAATTTATTAATTTACAATTTCAGGTCCAAGCTACAAGGACAAACAGTAAGTGGCTTAGTTTTTGAGGTTTTATTTTTAAGATTTTTTTTTTCGTTTGCCAGATATTTTACATAGGTAATGAGTGTATTTGTTGCATTTTGGGTTGAATTTTGGCTTTTATGTTTTTATTTTGTCTCCCATATATTATGTTAACAAATTACCTCTGAAAAGTAGCTCACTTTGTAACAGCTTCATGTTTTTGTTTTAAACATACTGTGAAGAAAGTATTATAAGTGTTGCTGAGAAAATAGAGATGTTTGTTAAATTTATATAAAAAAGAAAATAAAGACTGAAATTTTGTGAGGAAGAGAAAAAAGATGATATTTATAAAAAATACAATGTTGCACTTTTGACAATAAACCCATGTTTTTACAGGACCCCATCCCACTTGCTTATACAAAATCTTATAGCAGAACATGAGTGAGTTTTTAGGTCAAAATTCATGTTTGCACTGTTAAAGGTCAAGGTTAAAAGGTCACAGGTTGTTAAGATTGAAGTATAGTGAAGTATTGTAAATATTTTAAAATAAATGATATTGGGTGGTAAATATTACTGTTATTATGTTGCCATGGTAATTTGTCAAAATCTAACCTTTAGTTGACCTGATTTTGAAATGACCTTGATCTTTGACATGAGTGACATGATAATTCTACATACCCAGAGTATTTCATTAATAGCCTATCTGCATGATTTATAATGTTAAAAAAATGCATGTTCTTCAAGACACACATTTCACAATGATAAAAATATGCCAGTTTTCGGTTAAAAAAAATCTAAAAATTGTACCCATTTTCCTTTCCTTTACAAATGTACACATTTTAACCATTTTCAAGTCTGTTAAGTTTGTTTTGTACCTGTTAAATGTTTAGTTTGGATATGGAACCTGTTTTATGATGCACAATGCAGATACACATTTACTAATCAGAATGGTGATGTAATGTAATACACAAGATACTACACTTTATACTAACCTACATGTATATATACTTAAGCATGGAAACATGGAGAGCATGGGATACAATCTTTGTTTAACTTAAGAATTTATTTAAGTATAGCTGAGTTTTATCAGCTCGGCTATTCAAAGAATATGGAGAGCTATTATGCTCACTCCAACGTCGGCGTCACACTTTGGTTAAGTTTTTGCGTGCAAGATGGCATCTCCAAAATGACCAAAGAGAATGGATTTAAACTTCATAGACTTATTTGAGAGCATAATAGGATGTCACTGTCCAAGACACATAACTCTAACATTGATTTTGACAAAATTATGTCATTTTTGAACTTTAAAATTTTACATTCCCCAGGCTCTTGTTTTACTATCAAGCACTGTGAGGAGTCAAGAGCACTGTCCTACTGACAACTCTTGTTATGATATAGAAATAAGAGATTTTATAACATGAAGAAGGTTCATAACACCAAAAACAAAAATTGCAGTGATGCAATGAACTGTCTTTGTGTTTTCTTGTTTTGCATGTTATACCAGATTTTTTATTTTTATTATACAATGAATATAATCAAGTGCCTTATATGATATTATTTTCCATGAAGAATGTTTAATAATGTAACATTTAGTAATATTTTCCTCATATATATGCATATCATATTTATATAACTAATAAATGGTTTTGTTATATGTGTACTGTAATGACAGCTAGATTTGACCCTTCATTTCCTTGAGCAGTATTTTAAAAATCTCTCTGTTCATAATAATACTTCAATTGAAATTTGTTGTTTGTTAACACTAGCATGTAGGATAATAGTTAATGCAACCATATTGTGCATTTATTAACGGCAGACAAAACAGTGTTTTTAGAAATTTTATTGGCTTTGTTGTGTTTCATACTGCACAAGGAAATAAGAGTTTTAACTTAAATATAGATATACCAGTACAGCTTCAACGGAAAATAAAAATATACATGTGTCATGTTATCTTCATGAATGATAGCAACAGTAATGACCTGCCTTTATGACCATAATATAACAAAACCAGTCTGTACAGTTCAAGCAGTCTTTATACCGTCTGCTGCTGAACTCTATTTGTGGTCAGAATAAAACAAGACCAGTCTGTACAGTTCAAGCAGTCTTTATACCATCTGCTGCTGAACTCTATTTGTGGTCAGAATAAAACAAGACCAGTCTGTACAGTTCAACCAGTCTTTATACCGTCTGCTGCTGAATTTTAATATTGAAATATCTAAAGTTTACAAGATAAGAGCTATGATGTTGGTACAGATATTGGCATTTGTAACATGTTGCAAATAAAAAGACAAAAAAAAAACAATAACAGTCAGGTTAACATGATACATGTATATTTCTATGGTAAAGGTGTATAATTAACTTGTTGCACAGCTTTTATATTGCTTTATAGCGCACAATTTCGGCGGCAAGACGAAATCCGTGAGGAGGATTCTGCTGATGTTTTGTACGAAAATAACCAAAACAATCGTAGGCAAAAAAGCAAACCGGAACTCTCTCTTTTAGATTTCTTAAACGAGTAAGTTTTCAGTATGCTGTTGCAAACTTGTTTAGAATTATATTTCCAAGCGCAGAAAATTAATCCTTAAATTGACTGTAATCTTAAAGATAATCAGTTATTCCTTGATATCCTTCCCTTGTTTCCCCTACATAGTAAAAAAAAAAACAGTTTTAAATATTTATGATAATATTGTAATTCTTAAAAAGTAGATTGTTAGATTTACATCTCCCTATCCTTGCTTAGAATAATCCAATTAGTACTGTTGAAAGGGCTTATTCTTTGTATTGTGGACATTTTTAATTCTTATCTAAAATTTAAATTAAGTAATTCATAAACCAATGTATTAAAGGCTTGTTGCTTCATTTTTAAGTGCTGAAGATTATCAAGTAAAATGGATTGTGCCAATTTTAAGCTCACCTGTCACAAAGTGACAGGGTGAGCTTTTGTGATCGCTTTTCGTTCGGCGTTCGTCCGTTGTCTGTCCGTCCGTCCATAGACTTTTGCTTCAAATGACATCTCCTCATAAACCACTAAACCAATTTCATCCAAACTTCACAGGAATGTTCCTTTGGTGGTCACCTTTAAAAATTGTTCAAAGAATTTAATTCCATGCGGAACTCTGGTTGCCATGGCAACCGAAAGAAAAAACTTTAAATATCTTCTTTTAAAGAACCCAAAGAGCTAGAGCTTAGATATTTGGCATGAAACATCTTCTAATGAGTGTCTACCAAATTTGTTCAAATAAAAGCCCTAGGGTCAAAATTGGCCCCTCCCCAGGGGGTCATTGATTTTCCCTATATGCATATAGTAAAAACTTAAAAAATCTTCTTTTAAAGAACCCAAAGAGCTAGAGCTTAGATATTTGGCATGAAACATCTTCTAATGAGTGTCTACCAAATTTGTTCAAATAAAAGCCCTAGGGTCAAAATTGGCCCCTCCCCAGGGGGTCATTGATTTTCCCTATATGCATATAGTAAAAACTTAAAAAATCTTCTTTTAAAGAACCCAAAGAGCTAGAGCTTAGATATTTGGCATGAAACATCTTCTAGTGAGTGTCTACCAAATTTGTTCAAATAAAAGCCCTGGGGTCAAAATTGGCCCCGCCCCGGGGGTCATTGATTTTCCCTATATGCATATAGTAAAAACTTAAAAAATCTTCTTTTAAAGAACCCAAAGAGCTAGAGCTTAGATATTTAGCATGAAACATCTTCTAATGAGTGTCTACCAAGTTTGTTCAAATAAAAGCCCTGGGGTCAAAATTGGCCCCGCCCCAGGGGGTCATTGATTTTCCTATATACATATAGTAAAAACTTTAAAAAATCTTCTTTTAAAGAACCCAAAGAGCTAGAGCTAAGATATTTAGCATGAAACATCTTCTAGTGAGTGTCTACCAAGTTTGTTCAAATAAAAGCCCTGGGGTCAAAATTGGCCCCGCACCAGGGGGGTCATTGATTTTCCCTATATGCATATAGTAAAAACTTAAAAAATCTTCTTTTAAAGAACTCAAAGAGCTAGAGCTAAGATATTTAGCATGAAACATGTTCTAATGGGTGTCTACTAAGTTTGTTCAAATAAGAGTCCTGGGGTCAAAATTGGCCCCGCCCCAGGGGTCATTGATTTTCCTTATATGTGTATAGCAAAAATTTAAAAAACCTTCTTTGAAAAATCCCAAATAGCTAGAGTTTAGATATTAAACATAAAACATCTTCTAGTGAGTGTCTACAAAGTTTGTTCAAATTAAAGTTCTGGGGTCAAAATTGGCCCCGCCCCGGGGGTTATTGATTTCCTTATATGTGTATAGCAAAAACTTAAAAAATCTTCTTTGAAAAAACCCAAATAGCTAGAGTTTAGATATTAAGCATGAAACATCTTCTAATAAGTGTCTACAAAGTTTGTTCAAATTAAAGCCCTGGGGTCAAAACTGGCCCCGCCCCAGGGTTGTCATTGTTTTTAACTATGTGTATAGTAAAAACTTAAAAAATCTTCTTTTAAAAAAACCTAATGAGCTAGAGCTTAGATGTTTAGCATGAAACATCTTCTTATGGGTGTCTACCAAGTTTGTTCAAATAAAAGCCCTTGGGTTAAAATTAACTCTACCGGGGGGGGGGGGAAGGTCATTGTTTTCTCTTATATGTGTAAAGCAAAAACTTAACATCATGAATCATCTTCTAAAGGGTGTCTTACAACTGCCTATATACAGGTGAGCGACCTCAGGGCCATCATGGCCCTCTTGCTTTTATAGGTATCTACAATGTACATGCATATACATAAAAGGTTTTCCATCATAAATGATACCAAAAAAGGAATTTGATCACTTGATGCATTAGATAAAACTTTTGCAAAACATGTTTTTAGAATGAAACTTCATGCAATGTACAAGATTGTAATATGTGTTTTATTGTGATTGGTTATTTATTATTTCATGCTGCACTTGTAACACCAGCGCTTGCTTTATTATATAAACCAGCTAGTATTTTATTTACAGAAAATTTTACCAGCATGGTTATAATAAACAGATATATGTGTAATATTGTTTTACAAAACAAGTAACAAATTTGATCAGTTCAGAAATATTTCAGGATGAAATTTCCTGGCTAACATTTAATTGCTTTCAAAAGTTGAAAAAATCATGATAAGTAACCTCCCTTGAGTTGAATTTTACATTTGTCATTGTTGTTGCCTTTTTGTGCTAGCACTGAGAATAGACTAGTGATTTTATCCTAGTGTCTTTTTGAATGTCAAATAAAATGGTTATATTTATATAACAAAAAGGAACCTCGCATATATAGAGTTCCACAAGCAGACTATTTTAATATTTCTGGAATCAGACATACAATGATAGCTAGCAAAGTAAGAAAGTTGTTTAAGATTCAAGAAAAGGTTTGTTTGTTTGTTTATGACCTTGTGTTGTATATTCACTGACGAAGAACATATTTGTTCGAAATCGATTTGAATATTAAAAAAATAACTGAATGTACGCGTGTGGTTGTTCTTTTTGGATTCATATAAGATTATAGACATATAGAAATATTTACAGCCCTTCCAACTTCTCCAATGACTCATCTAACCTGTCATCACCAAAACCAAAGGATAAAGAAGACAAGAAGAGGAAACCTAGCATGTTCTCTCGTTTCCATAGTAGCTATAGAATCAAAAAGGTAAGTGCCGGTGCTTGTTCTTTGTTATATACCACATAATGTAAGGGAGAGTTTAGAGAAATTAATTAAAAACTCTTCTCACACATTATTATATTTATAACCAAATAGCCACTTATAGATTTAAATACTCTTATGTTTAAACATTAGGAATTTCTTAAAATTTTATGTACAGTAATTTTGTAATTTATTCCATATTCCATAATGGTTTCCATGCAATTTTCCTTATTTTGCCATATAAAAGTAATTTTTCAAAGTTGTATGATTTTATAATTATCAGACTTATTTTAGGTAGGATAAAAGCCACAAAGAAGGTATATGTATATTTTAAGTAAAGTTTTAATGTAATTATATTGCAGAGAAATTTTAAATATTTTCTGGAGCTCTTTTATTTAAGTAAACTTTTTATATGACACTGTATTATTACAGAACAAAGATAAAGAGGGGAAAAGTAAGTCATCAAGTCACCGCTTTGTCTCAGTTAGCTTCAGTAATGCCACCACGTGTGATGTGTGCCATAAACTACTTACAAATAAACCAGCGCTAAGATGCCAAAGTAAGTCAGTTATCATTTAAAACAAATTTATATATATGATTTTTTTCTTGTCAGAAGAAAAAGTGCAGGGGCCTTCATTGTTGAGTGTCAGTCAGTGACTTCAGATTACTCCCATGGGTTGAGATAAAATTTTTACTCACCTGTGTTGGTATGAAATGAGGTTGGAAGTTAAAGTTTCATATGAGGAAGCCACCCTTCATATTAGCTGAATTCTTTTCATTTCTACGAAAGATTGCATTATTCCAGTATTACAAAAGTTCTTGTTGAAGCTTTATAGCAAAATAAGGGCAATAACCTGAGTTTAAATCACAATGGCATTTTTTAATTCTTAAATGATTGAAAGCTGTCCAAGTAGGTAAAGGAAAGTTGGTGGTTCTGCTCAGGTGCTAGTCTTGTACCTGAAATAATGCATGGAAGAACGTCTCAGAGTTTTTTTCTTGTAATGAATCTATAATGTGACCATATGGCTTTTTTGCTCTGTACATATCTTGAGCAAGAATTGCTAACAGATTGTTTTGATGATTACATTGAATGGTTTATGTATACATGTATATTGATACATTATTTTTGTTGTATTTTCAGTATGTCTAGTAAATGTTCATGAGCATTCGTGCAAAGAACACATACCTGCCTGTGATAAAAACAAATCAAAGGTAAATACAGTTACTTCCCTTACATTAGTTTGTATCTTCCTGTCTTATTTACAGTTTGTTCATTGAACATATAATTGGTGTAGGAGCCTACAGTTGTGACAATTACTGTTTGTCGGTTCATTCACTCATTCATTCATCACTCATTCATTTATTTATCCACTCATTTATTCATTCATTCATTCATATATTCATTCATTCATTCGTTCATTTATTTATTTATCCACTCATTTATTCATCCACTTATTCATTTATTTATTCACTCATTTCCTTCACTGGCAGTATTGTGGTTTAGTATAAACCTATATTTACAAGACTTTTAATTGCCTGTAATAAGTAAAGGAAGGTTCCAATTATATCAGTTAAGTCATTCATAAAAATTTACAGAACTAATTCTCCACCTACAATATTTATGAATCAGATTTAATTAGTGTAGAGTTGTTCTGGCTTCATTTCAAAAGAAATTATGTGGTACTTTATTTCATATCTGGCAATTTCACTGACAAAAGTAACTCTCTTATACCTGTCAATGTCAAATAATGTGAAAATAAGGGGAATACTGTGGTAGTTTTGTCAACAAGTTTCAGGCATAACTTGTAATTGATAAGTCTATAAATTCTTTGTTTTTTTCCTTCTCCTCAATCTTGGAAAGAAAAACAAATGCAATTAAAAACTTTAAAAGTTTAATTTATTTCAATATTTATCTCAAGCTGAATTAATATTATCTTCAAATCTCCAACCTGTGTAACATTTAGATTAATATAACATATCAATATTAATGTTTGATTGGAAGTTTCTTATGTTAACATTTTCTTGGGCCTTATTAACGGATCTTTAAAATTTACTTTATCACCAGTACTCTTGTTTTCTTCTTTATTTTTGTGTCCCCTCTACGGAGTAGTGGCGACATATAGGGATCACTTCTCCTTCGTCTGTCTGTCTGTCCGCCCGTCTGTCCATCACAAAACTTGTCCAGACTACCTTTCATAAACTACTAGTGCAATTTCAATGAAACTTTACAGGATTGATCTGTAGCTCAAGTCCTTGCGCATATTGCACGGGTTTTCCGGTTGAATGATTTTTGGCCGAGTTATGGCCCTTTGATAAAAAGGTGTTTTTCTGTGTGTTGCCAGATACACAAAAGCTTGTCCGGACTACTCCTCATAAACTACTGGTGCAATTTTATCCAAACTTTACAGGAATGATCAGTACCAAGGCTAGTTGTGCACAGTCCGTCTGTCTGTCCGTCTGTCACAAAACTTGTCCCAACATGAAATTGGTCATCATGAGGCGACACATGTGACCACTGATCGCTCTTGTTATTGTACCAAGTTTTATTTGGAGATATCTAGAAGTAATGTATAATTGTATGTGAACATTTAAATATACAACTGGTGAATTAAGCTGGCGAATTAAAGTTCAATAAATCAAATGTCACGTACTTATCATTTAGACGGAGACTAAATATCGGGACTGAGGAATGTGACCTTAAAAACTGTATACATGTGAACATTTGTATAGTCGTTATTATTTTGTTATAATTTAATTGATTTACATCAGTGAACCCTGGCAAAAAAATAAGTAGTAGCTATAACTATGTTTGCTGTTTATATGTAAACAAATGAATGCAAGAAGATTGTATTACGTTTATTGTTCTTCTTTCCAATAGTTGATCTCCTATTTTCAACTATGATTTTAACACTGTAGCTCTGACTATACGAGTTTGTAAGGAATTTGGTTTTGTTCAGGACTTTATGGAAATAATTTTCATAACTATTATAACATTCATTCAACATTCATTCATAAAAAAGTACCTCTGCTATCTTAATTTTCTTCCTCTACCTGGTTGTTGTAATTACTTGCTTTCCTTTGACTTTTAATCAGATAATTGACCATTTATTATTTATTAAATGATTATATGTGGTTGATTTGATATAGCTTGAGGAAAAGTTTTTAAGAAATGAAGGAATTTAGTACAGACTGTGGTTAGTTTAAATGTTGAAGTTATGTATGAAAAATAATTTGGACAGGTATTCAGCTGTTGAGGTGTATGGGGGCATTAAGTTTAGTTTAATTATTTTGTTTAGAGTAATCTTAGGTAAAATTTGATGTGACATGTAGTAAACTTATGTAGGGACTGTTTAAAATGTTCTTTGTATTAACAAGTGTGTACGTTTTTTTGTACAAGTATAAAAAAGATTGACAGATAAATATACACATTGTTGTGTGACGGGGTTGCGACCATACAAGTGTTATAGTTGTATTTACAATGTTCATGTTCGGTCAGCCATATAATAGTCAACTGTCAGTGTGCATAGTGTGTTGTACTGTGCATAAACAATGTGTAAATCAGCTGTTTTTGTGAAGATCTCCACAAATGAAGGCAGATAATGTCATTTGAGATTTTTTTCGTTTTACCCACAATCCTACATATATCCTGTCTTCTGGTGGTTACGTTTATACATGGATCAAAATGAGAAGTAATTGTGAATTAACTAATAAAAGAGGAAATTAAGATGGAAAGTTGCATATATATATGGATTTAATGATAAATTTGGCCCTACTATCGGAGGAAATAAAGAGGATTAAGTCTATCTAAGTGTTGAGATTTAGGTCACATTGTTTTATACCTGTACTTAATAACACCTGGTCGCTTATTTGTAGAAACAATGGATTAATGTATTATACATGATTATCTTCACACGGAAGTGCTGGACAAAGCTAGGCTGATGTGTATCTCATTGTGTACATGCTTCAATTAATCTAGTAGGATTTAAAGATAAACCCTGATGAATAATCTTGGCTTTTAATAGGACATGGTTTTATCTAAAGTGTTATTATAGTTTGTGTTAACTGAATGACATATTTGGATGATATACCTTGTCAAATACGGACTGTACCCCCAGGGCAACAAGTGAAGTGCTAATTTAATTGTTGGTGGGGGGGAAATTAGGTCAAAATCATGATAAATCAGGTATAGATTGAAATCATTAAATAATGATGACTTAATATTTTCACCTTGCCTTAATAAAAGTTTAATATGGATTTTATGGCAGTGAAGGTTGTGCATTGATTATATTTAACAGAACATTTGTGTTGACAATAACGATAAAACGTGTTTTCTAATTATCATTAGAAAGATACATGATAGTGACAGCTGGGCATAGAGCAGTACAACATAGTCAACTTCATGTCCTACATAGTGTTGTGATAAAATCTATTTTTAGAAAATTATCCATCTTGAAACTTCACAGAAAAATCTGGACTTGTTTCAAAGAAGGATCCTAAATGAAAAGAGAAATTGGTAGATAGTAAAATGGTCTTTCCGGTTTAGTGTTACAATAGATTCTATTGGCAGTGGGGAGACAATTTTAAAGAGAATATTACAGAGTTCATGGTGATAGTTTGGAATTTTACAAATTATGTTAGATAAACAAAAGGGAAAGGATATATACACTTAGTTGACTAAACTTGATTATATAAGAGGAATAAGGAACCTGGTCATATAAGAGGAATAAGGTACCCACTCATAAGAGGAATAAGGTATCTGGTCATATTAGAGAATTTCCTGGTCATAGAGGAATAAGGTACCTGGTTATATAAGAGGAATAATGTACCTGGTCATATAAGAGGAATAAGGTATCCTAGAGAATTTCCTGGTCATAGAGGAATAAGGTACCTGGTTATATAAGAGGAATAAGGTACCTGGTCATATAAGAGAAATAAGGTACCTGGTTAATAAGAGGATTAAGGTGCCTGGTCATAAAACATGAACAAGGTGGTCATATAACAGAAATAAGGTACCTCGTCATATAACAGGAATAAGGTACCTGGTCATATAACAGGAATAAGGTACCTGGTCATATAACAGGAATAAGGAGAAAGTTAGTCATTGTAAGAACACCTGACTGATTAGATTAGGGGATAAATATCTTGTATGACTTATACTCTAGAAAAAAAAAGAAGGAAAAGAGAATTTGATATTTTAATGTTGGCTATAAGTTACACAAACCTCATTTAACCAGATTTCTATCTGATGACGGCATTCAGTTACTGTTGAACAGAGTTATGTAACGTACTGTCGCAGATTTTGTCATGTTGTTCTGATGTGATATTGATTTACCTGTGCTTTGTTGAATGAATGAACTTCATATTGATTTTAATGTGTTGATAGCCAGAGAAGGTAGTGGTGTATTGTTTGTCATCGAAATATGCATAACCTAACCTTATCAGATACATTAAATTCAGTGGTACGAGTGGTATACAGTGTACAAAAACATGTGGTAGGGTTAAATACCAACATACCAAAACATTAAAAACGATTGACAAAAAAGATTTGAATATTGGATTTGGATTTTTTTCGGTAATATAATCCTATATTAGGACAGAGTGGCTTTAAAATAATCTGTTTTCATTGTTGAGTGAATTTTGAATAGAAATTATAATTTCAATTTGGAAGAATTGAATAGATTGATAATATGTTTTAAGTTGTATCGGAATGGAGGTGTCTGAATTAAGAACTGATATGATTAAAATGTTAAAGTGATTCTTTCATGCCTGGAAATGAGTCACAGATTATTGTCTTTTGAGTGTTGTGATATGGTTTGTGAAAAAGACCTTCAAAAATGACGGATAATTTTTATTACAACTGTTTGGTGCCGGATGCTGCAGTACCACAGGGAGGGGCTGATCTTGAGGACATACCCCCTCCAAGACCGCCACGCCCACAGAGAACATATGAAACAAGGCCTAATGAGTATACTCCGTCTCCAAGAACGGATGTTGAGGAAAGGAGGCAGTTTTTCCCTCAACATGGGCCTGAGGTGCCACCGAGAAATTTTGGAATTAAGTCATCTATACATCAAAGGACCTGTAGTGAACCTGTTGATATGGGGTCTGGAGACCTTGAATGGTCTCCTAGTTGGTATTCAAATAATAGTCATGCATCATTCACCGAGTCAGGTAGCAAGTTTGAGGACTCTCAGGTTCGATCACCAGCCTGG